GATTAATGAAAGGTAGAATTCGTGAATTTCCTTCATGACCATACAGCATTCACTAACGATTTCTTGTTTCATAGATGACATAAATGCAGTCCATCAAATTCTGTGATTTCAATTCCTGAGTACTTGCAATGCCAAAAGCCAAGGGTGCATGCAGTATTGGGCAGTTCCATGATCATGGACGTTACATTCAGAGAGAATTTCAGGGAAATAAATGTTGATAAAAAATTACAGTTTTTTCAAAATATTTTTTTTCTACCTCCCAATAGTGTACATGGGTTTGCTTTATGTTCATGTGTAGTGTTAGAAATTTTTGCTTGTTTCTATTAAGAGTAATTAATATTTTAATCTCAGTCATGGACGTTACGAAAAACGGACAGAGTTTTTAAACTCTTAGGCTTCAATGTAAAATTCCTGTTATATAAATTCATTAGTGCAAATACATAAAGTGAGAGAGTGGTTGTTACCATTTGTGAAGTTTTTGTCCTTGTTCGTCTTTCACATGAAAACCAATTGGGCAAAAACTAGAGTCATGGACGTTACACAAATTTGTCATGGACGTTACGTCTTCAAAAAAATTTATATTTTTAGCATTTTGTGTTGGTTTACTTTAATGGAAAATATTAAAATCTTGACTTAATGAATAAATGATACACTTTTTTCTGATAAAATGTGATTTGTGGGTTTCCTGTGTAATGATTGGAAAAAAAACAGCGAGTAAAAGCCAAAAAATATCCATGACAAGCCTTGCATACATTAAGTCAGTTCAAGCCCTTGGAAAAGCTATAGGAAGAAATTTTGATGTAAAACTCCTAAATTATCTTGATGTAACGTCCATGACCAATTTCTCATGGACGTTACATAATTCAAATTGAATTTTCTTTTAAACTAAGAAGAGAATCTAATATTTCATGACAATTCTATACTTGTTTTTGATAGCACAAAAAGGAAATGAAAGGATTTTAAAATATTTGCTCTGCATTTAACAGGAGAGTAAAAATTAGCATATTTTACAATAAATGTCATGTAACGTCCATGACAAAACTTATGACATCATAATTAATGCAATATTGCATTTTTTTGATAAAAAGGTTATTTATTTGTAAAGTACACACCATTGACTTTAATATGATGAGAAATTATTGTATTGATTAAACTTTTTAAGCTTTTTGAACAATTAAAACAATTTTGTTCTTACATGTCATTTTTGGGGTACAGTAATTTAAAAAAACATACTTTGAGTACCCCCCCTAAGTACAGAAGGAGCACAATCCCATTTGTACATTATTTTTTCAAAGGTTTAGGTATACCACTATAAATTGGCCACTATAGATATTTGCCAAAGTCAATTATATTTTTGCACTTTTTGCATGTTCTCGCATGGAACTGCCCATATATTTGATGAATTCATTTCAGAAAAGGATTACTTTGTTGTTAAGTTATAACTAGAAACTATGAAATAAATAAATGACCAGATCCATGATCTGTGTCATCTGAAAGAGGAAGAACACTATTCAAATACACTAGATAGAACCCTTGCAGTTAATGAAAACAAAACAAAATATTGTATAGTTTCCTTCAGACAAAAAAAAATTGTCTCTTGTCACTCAGATAATAGCTGCTAGTTGTCATCAGATGCAAAGGGGCTATTCAAGAAAGGAAAGACCTCATTTAATACATAGAAATCAAGACCTTGTCCTATAATTTTTTTCCAATTTTGCCAGGCTGCTAAAGATTTAAAATAATTTTTTCTCTGATACCATATTTTGTGAATTCACTCTCCTTAATGTCCATTTTTCTAATATGTGTCAACCTACATGTAATGTGCAACAAAAAGAAAAAATACACAGTCAAAGACTGCATGTGACTCAAGCCAAAAATATAGGCCAATGAAATGTGTTAAAAATGTAGATAAGAATTGTACTCTGATAGAGTTAAAAAAGGTTATTGATAGTAGTGGTAGCTGTAAACTATGAAAAGTTAGACATGAATGAATAGATAGACATTAAAATACATTTAAATGCAGTAAAATACTTAAAATACTTAAATTCATTTAAAAATAATGTTTACCACTCATTGGCAAAAGAGTCAAAAAGAGCAATGATATCAGTTTTTTTAAACGAAATTAGAGTAACATGCACACATTTATAACACTATCAACTCAACTTTAAACATAGCCAAACTTTACAAGTTTTACAGCATTTTTAATTATGTTACTACATGGAATAATGTTGAGAACTTTTTCACTGTATAAAGATTGGTATTGTTGATAAAAAGACCTAATCTGTGAGATTGCCTCTCGTCACAAAAACTAAGCATAAATTAAAATAGAGCTTATTCTGACCTACCAATCACAATGACTTATTGAGAGCTGCAAGTCTACAGGAGTTCAGCATCAATATTAAAAGTGTTATTGGTGGTATATATATGAAATGAAAAAAGGAATTTCCCTCAAATTATCTTTCAAAAGTAGTACTGCCATAAACAGAATATAAGTAGGCTGTGACACATTGGCAAAAAATCAAACAAAAGTAGAAGCAAGAAATTTATGGAAAATCTTTTTAACACACCAGTATTTTTTTTTTTCACACCAGCTTATTTCATGGAATAAATTTGAAAATGACAATGTAGTAAAAAGGTGTAACTTTCAATTGAACTATAACATAACTTGCTAGCCCAAATTAAGTTGATATAATAAGTAATGATCATGTAGATACACTTAAACACTAGAAAAAACTAAAATGCCTTTAGCAATTTCTCTCAAAAAATATCTTTTCCAATAGATGCTGATACTGTAATATGATGAAAATGCCAGTCCCCTGAACATATTTTAGGTTCCTTCGTATACCAAAGATAGAGTATTTTAATACAGTCATGGTAATTAGGAAGGCCTTCAGCTGTCTTCGTCTTGACTTGAGTGGCACAGTTGAATGAGAGGAAAGTTTGGCTTTTGTCATTTGCCGATACAAGTACATGTACGAGGTGCTTCTAGATACCAGTCGAAGTCCTTTAGTGACTTTGATATTGCCAAATTATTTACTCAGAGTATACTACTCATCACGTTGCAGAAAGATGGGTGTCCATGTCAGACTTATCTCATTTATCAAGACTGATTGCAGACAGTCATGAATAATGCTCCCACCTTATGCATGCAGTTATAGCAGACGTGCACCAACCTCATGACATATTTTCATTTAACATCTCTGCCTCTTCCATCTGTACTGTTATATTCAAATGGCCACTTTTATATCATCTCCTTATCAAAATAATAGTAGAGTATAAGATGGCACAAACTGCTTCATGGTAATATTTCCAGATAGAGTGCACATCACAAGCATGAAACAATTCTTAATATGTATTGCTAAATAAGATTTAGTTAATATCAACTTAAAGAATTCAACAAAGCGTAAACACAATGACAATTATTTAAATTCCTTTATTGTTCTCAATTCTTAGTTAGTTGATAACTAAATCTCATTTAGCACTACAAAGTTAAGAATTGTTTCATGCTTATGTGACTTGTAATCTACATATAATTTAAGTAATGCCCCGAGTAAGAACTAGGGTGCAAATGGCAAAGGAATGCTTGAAGGTGCTAATTGTGCATTGTATAATCCATCCATCCCATTGGTTAAAACATGAAAATCTGCTATAATTTCACAAGTTAGCGCATTTTCTATTATTTTATTTAATGTCTGTTTTTGCTTTCATGAAAGCTTTCTTTAGCTACAATAATAAGGCAATTCTATGTGGGGAACATTGCAAATTAGAAGCATCTTTTGGCTATTGTTTTGAGTGCTTATGATTGGATAACAGCTTTTAATACAAAAGAAACTCTGTTTCAAAATAGAGTTTATCCACTGTATTTCAATTTAAAAATGTGTTACCCATAGGTTGATACTTACTAGTAATCACTGTGAAAACCAAGACATTCGTACATGGGGAACTTGCTATGCCGCAGAACAATAGAGAGTTCCCTAGTTCTTACGTGCATTGTTACTTAATGTACCTCCATGGGATATACAACATTTGTTTATTGATCAGAAAAACAGAGCAAAAAAATGTAATGACATCAAAATGAAAAATTCTACAAGATTATAAGCATCTGCACATGGGCTGTAGTGATTTCAAATGGATGATGGACAAGAAACTTCAAAGTGAAACTAGTCATTTCAGACTAAATTTAACACTGACAATCAATTATTTTTTTCTTCTTTTATAGATGTTTTTTATCGTATTTTTGTCTTTGCTTTTTAAATTTAACGACGCAAATAAAAAGCAAAGACAAAAATACGATAAAAAAACATCTAAAAAAGAAGAGAAAACTTAAGTTACTAATTAAAGAAAATATCAATCAAATGTGAAATAAATAAGCTTATGATTAAAAGCTTACTTAAGTTACTTCTTAAATGAAATTTTCCTATACAAAGGTAGCTGCAATATTTTATGTAACTTACCTTAAGCTTAATATATCGAGAGTTGACTGCTCTTATTAGCGCTTGTTGCTAGTCAAATTCATTGTTGGCGATCTTGTGTCTATACATGTAGGCACCACGCTAATCAAGTCGACAGTTATACATTTATACCTCTTGGAAGTGGTGTATAAAACCATCGCAAAGCGTTAAGAATCACTGCAGTGTCCTCACAGACATTTTCTCCTAAATGGCGGCCTTTAGACCGCTGTCGATGAAACGCAGTCGACAGAACAAACGTTTTGCCTTTCTCTCATCTCCAACGAGGGGAAGTTTTGGTCAATAGTTCCTCGTAATGTCGCAGAAGATAGAGCCCAGCAATCGAAACAAAGATGGCCGATCATGAAACATTGAAAATATTTAACCCTTCTCGACCCCTACAGAGTAGATTGCTTGAGCAGTAACGCGATTAAATGTACTTCCCCCTCCCCCGGCTAGTAGGTTGAAGCGACTCGGACTGCGTATCGAATTTGGTCGTACATGATTACTTAAAGAAATTTCCGTTTAAAAAAATTGTAAAATCAGTTATCAATTTTTTTAAAAATCAAAATTGAAAAATAAAAAAATTACCATTTTTGGTTTTTCACGCAGAAGCAAAAACAAAAATAGGCAGGCAAAATTTCGATTTTCAATTTTTGTTTTTAATCGAAAATAGAATGGACGGAAGGTACACGGACCGCGCTCGGCCACGGTAGGTGGCGGCCATCTTGAAATCAGGGGCATGATTGGTCACGTGATTTGCGAGCACCTCCTATCCGACTCTCAGCCATGTTTGTAAGTAATGTCAACAGTATTCCGAGTTGAACAGTTCATTACAGAAACAGCATTTCAAACTATTTTCTACAGCTCCTGATGTCTTCACTTCAGGACGTTTGGCAAGCGGGAGAGTGAATTTGGACGTTGGCAAAGTGCTTTTGTGCACGAATTGACTTGCAAGTTGTGGCTTTGGAGAAGCCAACATGGAGAAGCGAAAAGAGTTGCTGGAGAGAAAAGTCCGAGACCCAAGGAGTGAGCTATTTGTTGACGGGCTTTTGGTAAGTCTGTAGTTTACTGGTTCTTTTTTTACTCTACGGCGAAAGATTCTTGACCAACTGTTGCTTTTTCAGGATGGTATAGAGGCGCTTGTGAACGATTGTAACTACCCACAGATTCGTCGGAACAAGAATGTTGAGAACTTCGTACAACGGTGTAAGCGCTGWATCTTCATTGTTTGTTTGTTTTCTCCAGTATGGTACTTCGTAGTACTTCTCTGATGGTATTTTGTTGTCTTCATAGATGAGGGGCCGTCGAGAATTATCCAAGATAACAGATTACGGTCGAGCGATTTTCAMATTCTCAAAGTAATCGGACGTGGAGCTTTTGGCGAAGTTCAGTTGGTACGYTCTTCTCACGCTTGTTAATTTGTATTTACCATAAAAGCTAATCTTTTCCTTACTCTTATTGACTTGTTATTGAAAGCTTAGACCTCTCAGCAACTCTCTAATTACTTTGTTTCGTTCGTACTTCTGCAATTCTATTTATACATTGGCTAATAATTCTTGATGTGGCTTGTCCATCACGGTATAATCTTTTTGTCTTCTCTGGTTGCCACAGTGTCTAGAGTATTATTTCCAAGACTCAAGTTCAATTCTAAACTATTTCCTTTAGGTTCGGTCAAAGTATACCAAGAAGGTTTACGCTATGAAGTTATTGAGCAAGTTTGAAATGGTGAGTCGATATTTTCAATTTTGTCACATCATTTTCACCCCGGGTCTACAAAAGGTCATATCATCTTCCCCGCAATCATTACCAAATAAATGGCAAATTCAAACGCTATCAACGCTTTTACAGGTTGTAATCAAAAGCACGAGGCAACACTTCCTTATAGTTACTAAAGCTGTGGAGAACAGCTAATTTCCGTGTCTCAGGGATTCAGATTTATGTACTCAGTCGATCTTKAAAATCGTGCTTATCAAGAATTAAAAGTAAGCTCCTCTCTGCCTCACCTCGGGGATCTCAACAGATATCTTTACAAAGAATTCTTTGGAATTTACGCCTAGATGTGTTGTATTGTTTGATGTTTTGATCGTAAGATCTTATATATTGTACAGTTTTTGTTCGCGTGATACAAACATTTGTGTACTTTGTACAGGATATTGGAAGTGTCTCTCCTCACTAGATCTTTTTCACTATATGGGTTTTTTTCAACCACAAATAAATTATTCTTTATTGTTAAAAGATGCACTTGAATGTTTAGTCGTAGAAGGTGCTAGTATGATTTATAAGTCATTAACTTCTCTTGTTTTTTTTCCATACAAGGGAAATATTTTTAATTTTTTACTTGTTGAAATTGTTTTTGTGAACAAGGTGCATAAATATACATCAACATCAACAMCACCTAAAGGAATATAATTGGATTTGTCTTGAGTATTATCTATTGTAAAAATCTATATGACAATAAGAGAGAGGCCATATGTATTTTTAATTCTTTTAGTCATTAAACTTTCAACTTTTTTTATTTGTCTTTTATAACATGCATGCTAAATCTTTTGTTTAGATGCTGTATGCAAAACCAACTTGCAAGCACTTTACCTCTTGGGTTATAATCCCCCCTTTTCAACTGCTACATGTATAATGATGTAAATTTTAAATATTTTTTTTTAGATTAAAAGGTCTGACTCGGCTTTCTTCTGGGAGGAGCGAGAGATCATGGCTCATTCTAACAGTGATTGGATTGTAAAGGTATTTTCAGGCAAAATATTTTTATTTATTTAAAGTAATGTGCTACATAAATTTTGTGTGGATTTTATCTTCTGGATAAGAACTTATTCAGAGCTATCTATACTTTGCTCAATTGGCCCTGATTTACAAGCCAGACTAACTATTGTTATACTATTTCTAATGYGTGATTTTTAGTCTGACATAAGCATCAAATCAAGGGTTTGTAAGCAAAAAAGATATCAAAACACAAAGGAATAGTCAAGTCCATAACATAATCATAATYGTAAAACCCGACATAAGAGCAGTAAAGAAAAAGAACAAACAAGAAAATCATAGTTCTTCTTTTTGAACGCCTAAAGTTTGACATCCACAGATTAGATTCTAATAATATTTGTTGTGTTACAAAAAGTTCATGTTTGCCCATTTGTAGTCAAACGACAGGCGTTTGTTTGAACAATTGTCGGCGATGATTTAATTTATGCAAATTATAGTAAACTTTGATCCTATTGATTTTTCTTTCAAAAGATTATTCTAATAGGATGAAAATATAAGTCAACATGAATTTAATCACTGTTGAATTGTTTATCTGAATAAAATTTATGAAGATTGGAAATTATTTTCTAAAAAAAGATTTTTTATGTACTATTTGGATCAGTATGTACATGCAATTCATGCACCAAATTGGTAAAACAAATATTCCTAATTAATATTATTTAATTTTGCTGATTACACCATTGGAAATGAAATGTATAGCATTATTCCCAGTGCAGATCTCAAGGCTGTGACCACCAGGAGCATTTTGGATATATTTATTGTTCATTAACCAATCTTAAGCGTGACTGTCTACAAAGTGCATTTTTATGTGCAAACTTGATCAAACCTTTACAGTTAACTTAAACATACAACCATTTTGTGACTACAAAAATCAGCAGATTAAAGCTCACAAATACACAAAGGACTATGATTTCAATGTTCACTTGAAATTATTCMAAATTYATTTCATTTATTTTTTCATGGTTGTATTATAGTGTGTCGGCTTAACTTATTTCTCAAATACACAGTTTTGATATGATCCGTAATGTCAAGGTCGTGGCTTTGTGATTTACTGTAACACCTACATGTATGTTGTACAATTTTATGCTTCATTGATGAAGTGCTCTTCCTGTGAATTTGTCCGAGCCTGATTATATGAAGCAGGCTGGCCTGGTTGACTGGTCTGATTTCCTTTGTTTTGTGCCCCAGGGAAAAGAAAACACAAAAAACCAGACTGTTGAACTTGGCCAGCCCTCTTTCATATAATTGGTCCCTTAGTATTGATAACTTCTAAATAGTATTTTTTGGAAATATTGGAATTAGTATTAATTAATATTAATTAGTATAGTGTTAATATTATTACATTAGCTATTTATTTATATTGTGTTGCTATTGAGTTACATGTAAAAAACTACACTAAATACATGAAAAAACTAACCAAATAATAATAGAAATAGTGATTTTGTGCAGATTAGACAATAAAAAACACCCAGGAATTTGTATGATTTTGTACAATTTAGCACTAATTAATTACTAATTAATTTATCTTGGTTTTAGTGTTTGCACTCTTTGCACTTATTATATTTATCATCTTGGATAGATTTATTTTATGACCTATCTTTATCTTTGTGGGAATTTTAGCTTCATTATGCCTTCCAAGATGAAAAATATCTTTACATGGTCATGGACTACATGGCAGGTGGGTTATTGTTCTCSTTTTTATGATATATTTCACTTACCATCTAAATGCCTGATTTTTTGAAGTATTGATAAGAATCCCTATAGTTATTCAAAGAAATAAATTTGAATGGCTTTTAGGAAGATTTTTTAGAAACAATAAAAAAAGTGAGGATTGCAATACTCCAATTTCGAGTTCAGGTTTGCTCTGTGTTAGCCTCAAAACCAAGCAACATATTCTTTTGTTTCAATGATAGCCCGACAAAACACAATATGGAATTTGAAAAGAAAGACAATAGAATTGATTTAAAATCTYACTTTTTTATTCTCAAAATTAGGAATATTTTGCGCACAAATGAGGCGAGAGAATTYGAAACTGGATTATTCCCATCATGCTTTGTAATATAAAAGTTGCTATACAYTGACTATTGATTTTTATGGTAATACAGTGCCAACTGCAACTTTTTGTCATGCATCGTTCAATCTTGAACAACCTTGTAACTTTTGAAATAACTATATGATTAGCCCTATGGGTTTGGTGAAAAACTTGTTCATTTTGTATTTCTTTTATGCACAAAGGTGGAGATCTTGTCAATCTCATGAGTAATTATGAAATCCCTGAGAAATGGGCCAAGTTCTATTGTGCCGAGGTTGTGCTGGCAYTGGATGCAATACATTCAATGGGATTTATACACAGGTAACCATTATACAATGAACACACGAAGATAGTCATAGAAGCCCTGGCTTTACTGGGCTCTTCTGCACTAAATTCTTTATAAGTAGTTCAATCTAAATTGCAGTGGTCAATAATTATATAATTGCTTTCCAGGGATGTSAAGCCAGACAACATGTTATTAGATCGTGAAGGCCATTTGAAATTAGCMGATTTTGGAACTTGTATGAGAATGGATAAGGTATGTTGGATTGCACAGTATACAACATGTTTTAACTTGAGAATAACACAAGTGCGCATATATACCATAACTTAAATGTGAGATCATTCTACATAATAGTGGGTATCACCTCCCTCTGCACGCTTGAAGGAAAAACTCATAGCATCAATTCACAATTCTGTTTGACGGGTTCCTTCATGCAGCATTGGCGGTTTCAAAATAATAATAATAAATAATAATAATAGCAAGGTTGAAAAGTACAATGAAAATGGTATCAAAGAGAAAACAAAGAAACACAGGCATGTAAAACTGTACATACATACTTACAAGCACTTTCAAGGTAGTAATATTGTGACTTGAGCTTCAATACAAACCACTTGTCACAAAAAAGGGAAATTTGATCATCATGATGCATGATTTTAAGAGAAAGATTTTGTTTGCTTCATATTAACTAACAATTTGTACTGATAATTTAGGATGGGATGGTGAGGTCAGACACTGCTGTTGGAACCCCTGACTATATATCACCTGAGGTATGCCAAATCAAATATACTTAGTCATTCTTCCTATTGCCTATCTCTAGTGACACACTATTCCTATCTATATCTGTAATAAATTATGCATGAGGTCAATAAATACAGCAATAATACCTTTGTCATCTCTGCCCTTCACATGTGGTTTATATTATAAATTAATTCCTAAATATTATCTTAGGCTTTGTTAGGGTATCATCAGAAAACATTTCTTATGTCATTTGAAAGTTATTCCATTGTTTGTGCTATTTCATTATCAATACATATATTTATTCAAAATAACTATAGTGGGAGTATCTTACATGAAAAAGCCTTGGTCTATAGGTTGAATGCAAAATAAATATTTTATATCCATAACACTCTTGTCTAGGTATTAATTGATCATCAAACTGTAAAAATTCATGTGTTTTTCTTTGTCTTGAACACTGTGTTAATAAAGGAGACATGCAGACTCTCTAAGTCCTTGATCTTTAAGTGTTTTTTAAGGATTAGTGTATTGTTTTTGATTTGTACTCCAAGGACCCTTGACATTATTCTTAGTAAGCTATGAGGTTGGTCTAAAACTGTAGTATTTTCCTTGTTGAATAGGTTTTGATARCAATACAAGGATAACAATGAAGTTAAATAGAAAAAAAACCCTTAAAACCCTAAGCCACACAAGAAATAATAAAAAAATATGCCATTACAGTTTTACTAACAGTTAACTAAATGATGTTTATACAATCATAGAATATTATGAAAACCAGTGTTACTAACATTGAAAACATTTCAATCTTGCTTTGAATTCTAATATTGTAAAATCTATAAAACTACATTTAACTGGGTGTTATTACGTTAAGGTTCTCAAGTCCCAAGGAGGGGAAGGACATTATGGAAGAGAATGTGACTGGTGGAGTGTAGGAGTATTTTTATATGAAATGCTTGTTGGTAAGTAACTGACTTATCTATCATGGAGTACTTAATTGAAAAGATAWTTCTCTTCATAAGCATTAAAATACTTGATAATCCTTCAGTCAAAACAAAAACAATTTGAGTAGATAGAAGGGAAGAAAAATGGGAAAGAAAACAGGGAAAAAATAGTTCAGAGGTAGAGCCAAAGCACTTGTTTCATGGATTAAGTGCATCTACTGTAAAGTGTTTACAAATAAATGAAAGGAATGGGAGTAAATAAATTGATTCTTTTTGTGGTGGACTTTGTATAAAGCTTGTACAAATCTCACTTAAAAGATCAAGTTATACTATACAAGGTAATATTGTATTATGAATTTTTTTAGGTGATACACCGTTTTATGCAGATTCTTTAGTTGGAACATATGGTAAGTAGTTGCAGGTCTAGATATATCTTGGTTGTCAATGGTACAGTCTTTGAAAGGTATTATGTATATTATATCACAGGTAAAATTATGGATCACAAAAACTCACTACAGTTTCCAGAAGACATTGAGATGTCTGGTCAAGCTAAAAGCCTTATTAAAGCATTTCTWATAGACAGGTGAATACAGACTGATTGATTATTAGTGATCGATTGCTTGAATGATATATTATAATAAATGATTGAATGAATAATTGGATTGACTGTCAGATTATGGATTAGTTATTGATTGGATAATTTATCCATGAATTGATTGATTATTTGGCTAATGAACTGGTTGCATTGATTTATTGTTCAATCTGTGATCATCAATTAATGATGATTGATTGATGAACTGATMATTTATCTTTGTAATATAAATTAACAGACAACAAAGACTTGGAACAACTGGCATCCATGAAATTCAACAGCATAAATTCTTCGTCAATACGGAATGGGACTGGAATAATATAAGAGAAGGTAACCTTGCATCTTTCAGTTAATACAACAGCTGAAATTTATGTCAAATTACCTACTAAAAAGATAAGCATCCTTCATGGAGTAAAACAGCTGTTTCATATGGCTAATTCCTTTGTGTTTTGCATTGACTAAATCCTCCTTAGACTTTTCTGCTGTATTTATTTATTTATTTCGTTTTTTTGTCTCATTGCAGCAATCCCTCCAGTGGTTCCTGAGCTTATTGGTGATGATGACACTTCTAATTTTGATGAAATTCCTGAACCTGATGCAGGAGAAGAGTTCTTCCCAATACCCAAGGTATCTTTCTTTCTTTTTTTACTCTCATTTTTTTATTTTTATTTTTTATTTTTTCCTTATTTTGTCCCATTTTTCCATTGTTTCATTTTCTATTCATTCATTTATTTCTCATTTCATCTCATGAACCATGCATTCACCCATTTTCCCATTCATTCTTTTCCCATTCATCCATTTGTTTATCTGGTTTATTGGTTAATAGGAATATGTTATATTTTCCAGGCATTTGCTGGTAACCATCTACCATTTATAGGATTCACATATTCGAAGGAAGCCAGGTCAGTGTGTTGTAATATCTAGTATGAATTATCAGAAACAATTAGAAGCTGATRCARTGTAGGGGKTGGAGTTGGGGGMAGTTAGGYTKATGCTGTTGCTRTTGYTTTATTTGTATAATGCTSCAAGTYTTTTTTT